CTCTGCATAGGAAGCATATGGGAGAGAAGAGGGGGAGCATGCTAGGAAATGTTTTTCGTAATGTCCTACCTTATATAGGAGAGAAGGTGTGACTGCCAAAATAAGTTCTTAAAAGTATGATGCATATCCTTCTAAGTTTGCACATCTCGGGCACAGGGAAAGGGAAAATTGCCTGGTGCTGCTACTGGCTAAGGACTTCACAGGTACAGACTGATGTCCCGGCTCCAACAGGGAAGTTGTCTGAGCTCAGAGAAGTAAGTTCTTAGTTCTGCAGATAAAGGAGAGAATTGGCAACTGTTTCCCCCCCACCCTCCAACTTTTTCTGTCTTGACACTGTCATAGTTTTGACCAAGATCCACAGTAGGGATGTTTGCTGGCACAGATATGCTGCGTAGGAGTGTAACCTGCACCCCAGACAGGCTTTCCTATCAAAAGGAATTGTGACAAGAGTGCTGAAGTAGTACAACATACTTCCTTATCAGCTACTAAACTCTTCCACTGAAAGCTTCCCCTCTTGTACACTTTTCTAGACTCAAATTACTTCCACCAAAGCCGCAACTTCCTGGAAGAAACAAAAGCTGCTCCACTGCTTGTCTAGAGCATCAGGATGCCAGATCCTCCCCAGAATTGCTGCAGCACTTCTGTATCACCAGCAAGGCAGCAGCAGGCAAACTACCAAGGTTAGAAGCCTCCTATAATAAAATGTAGGAACAGTTCCATGTGTATAAACGTGATTAGTCAGCAACAGCAGGAAGATGAGAGATGCTAGCCAGGGTAACAGGGTTAGTTTTCAAGGAGGACCTGACACAAGTAGAACTTGTAATTTTTAATGCTACTCAAAAAGGAGTAGTTCTGCCTGCCACATGCCAGTGCTTGAACACCAGCAATAGCAGGGGAAGCAGAGAGCCACTGATTCATTAGGACTTGCTAATCTGTGATATCATTTGTTGATTCCACCAGGTCCAGTCCCCATCTCATGACTTCCTCCACAGTTGCCATGGCACTGTACATAAACACTGCAAACTCCCAGCCCCGAGCAGGTCATTTGTTTCAAATATTCCATGCAGCTGGAACACAAGCCTGTTTGGGTGTCTGGAGCTGAGCATGAACTAATTTCTCAGTCTTCTGCACCCGCCCCACCTTATGCACCCTCCCCAGCCTGCTGCTCTCTCAGAACCCCTCCAGCCACACTTCCAGCAAAGCAGAGGCAGCCTTCCACTGAAAGGTAAGCAGAAGCTGGCTTTGTTCACATACAGGGAGAAAATAAGTGTTTCACCAAAGTCCTCCACTGTCTGCAGCAAAACAAAAGTGACAGCTCTTGAATATGCTAGCTTAGGATCTACAAACAGTTGTCTTCTACATGTAGGAAAACAAACAAGATTAAGACATCCAAAATTCAGAAAGATTCTTGCCGCAACTGGAGACAAAGACAAAAAACACCTTTTTTTTTTTTCAGCTCTCTTCACCCAGTACCCTTATAAGGCAGTTAGCAAGCATAACTCTGAGCTTTAGTTGAGCCTCGCGTGGTGTAGTGTTTGTATGAACTGATTAAATCATTTGGTTTCCACACACAAGTCAGTAGCCGCAGAGAAGACAGAAAAGTGTGTGGACAGGAAGGAGAATTAAAGCCTTTGTCGTAACTGACAGAAGTACAAAGTCATCTCACTTCCAGTTGCTTTGGAGAGGCTTAACCTACCTGCTGATGCAATTCAAGAGCATCTCTGTATTGCACAGGTTGGAAGCGGAGGAGACTGAAGGCACTACAAGCAAGTGACAGTTTGTACTCCACAAACAGTATAATCCGTATCTCCTCACAGCCCAGGAATGAAGCCTCTTGTGCAAATAGATCTCAAAAATCAGTGAAAACACAGCAACTCATAGCAGTGGGTAGGGAGTGGCTGAGAACTAATACCAAGTGACTTGAGCTCAGTCAAGTTCATGACCTGAAGAAGTTACCCAGAAAACCTGGAAATCAGCCATTTTTCAAGCACACATGATAGAAGAATGACTCTCCCAACACTCACCTTGACCTGCCAGAGCATCTTCTGTAATTAACTGTGCTGTTCTACTGGCTAAGGATTCCCTTTACCCCTCACCATTTTGTTTTGCTTTCTTCTATCCAGCATCTCCCTAAGAGAAAGGACAGTCAGGTATCAACATAAAAATAGTAGGTCAGTGACTTGTTTTCATCTAAGCTTCTCTTCTGAAAGAAAAAGAGAAGTTGTTCACAGTAATCTAGTAGTGATATTTGCAAGCGTACACAACACATCAAGTTTGGCAAGATAACCAGAGCCCTGATCTATGCAATTGTTTGGTTTAACCCCAGCCAGCAACTAAGCGCACCCCAGCTGCTCGCTCACCCCCCCTGGTGGGACGGGGGAGAGAATTGGAAGGGTAAAAGTAAGAAAACTCAAGGGTTGAGATAAAGACAGCTCAACAGGTAAAGCGACGCAAACCCAGGAATTCAGGCAGGCAGGTGCTCAGCCATCCCTAGGACAGCAGGGCTCCATCACACATAACAGTGACTTAGGAAGACAAACACCATTGTTCCAAATGTCCATTCCCTTTCTTCTTCCCCCAGCTTCATATGCTGAGCATGATGTCATATGGTGTGGGATATCCCTGGGGTCAGTTGGGGTCAGCTGTCCTGGCCATATCCCCTCCCAACTTCTTGTGGGCCTCCCCCCCTGCCCCCAGCCTGCTCACTGGTGGGGCGAGACAGGAATGAAAACGTCCCTCGGTTATCAACACTGCTTCCAGTACAAATCCAAAACACGGGCCCATACCAGCTACTGTGAAGAACATTAACTCTACCCCAGTTCAAACCAGCACAATAATCTACTTGAATCTATTTGAAGAAAAAGGAGTATGGTGTGATTGAGTCAGTTGTAAACTAAGTTCAATTAGGAAACCAAGCCTGCGATCTCATCACAGATTTTATTCAACTCCATCTGGAGTAGCCATTTTTAGGCACTAGTGGCAGCTCTACAAAAATCTCAGGTTACCTCACCCCGTACCAAGAGCTGCAGCTTGCCCTCCATCTGTACACACCTTTTAGATACCAGCTTTAAACTCTCATCCTTCCAAGCAGAGACAAAGCCACAACAGCCCTTGCTTTACCTGTTCGGGCTGGCTTCTTGGGAATAAACTCACCATTCCTGTAGAAACTAGATACAAAGAACTCTGATTATTTCATGCAAATAAAAACCAGCATCAAGTAATATTTAATAAAGTTTATTAGGTTACTGAGTATTATCTACAGTCATAAAATAGAAAGTCAGAATTTAAAACTGTACAAAGCAACGTACTAGTGAAGTGAGAAGAGATGGAAGCAAGGGAGCACAAAGAGCATTAGAAGTAGGGAGAACACAGCTGCTTCCCTGGAGTTCTGGAAGATGCTGGTTCAAGTTGAAGGCAACCAAATAGGGCTCCACACACACTGAATTTTCTTGTGTCCCACCCTGTAACAGAAACTAGTACAAACCCCTACATTAAAAAAAAATCATACAACATTAGATTAAAAAAAGGGGCACATCACACCCCACCCAGTCTTGGCACCAATTCTGTGCTTTAAAAAATATACTATGCAAGTAGTTTATTTTAAAAAAGGTACCCTACAGCAGCTGTTTAAAACATGTTCTTATACATACACCACAAATATATATATTAACATTTTCAACAACTAAACCCATTTGTACCTACACAGAACTGAAAGGATAACTCAAGAGCAAAAAAAACCAACCACACAAACATTTTTCAAGACAAAGAAATGTGCAAAATAACCCCAGAAAGGCAGCATAGTAACCTGTGGATAAGTCAAGAGAACAGCTCCTGCTAGTAAAGGAGTGTCATCCTCTTTACTTGGCTACTGAGGTGATAATCTATTTGGGATGTGCTGATTTTGCCTGAATTGCTTGTCCTGTTTATTGCAGTTCTCTCCTGCCCCCTGCCCTGGAGATGTTCAGTTTCTTCTTGCTATACCTGAAGATCCCCCCCGGCCTCTGAAATCTCACAAGTTCCATTCCGCAGCAATCACCTTCTGGATTTCTCATCTGCTGATGGTACTTCTGCAGTCACACTGCTACCACCTTCTCTGAGACAACTTCCCACCCCCACGCAAGAAAGAGAGAACTATTCTTGCTGCATAGTTAAGTGGAGATTATGCTGACAGTCTATGGCAGAACAAAGCCTTGTTTGGATTTCTTTAAGCAGCTTATCTGAAAGAGAATTCCCTGGCAGAGCCATTAGAGAAACACATGTTTCTCCAAAGCCTTAACATGGAACAGGCTATACAGAAAGCAGACCTAGGATGGCAGGACCTATAGCTGTGTAACACATCTCAGCTCATACAGCCTGCCTCACCCTATTGCAGGAGAATTTCATCCCTTCCCTGTCCCCACATCAGCAAGGAACCCCTGATTCCAGACTAAAACCTGAAGTTTTAAGTCAAGAAGGTGGCAGGCGAAGGCATGGTATGATTGCTCAGTCAGCTGAGTCAAACCCACTACGAAGATGCAGAACAGAGAATGGAGCAGGAGAACTGGGAAAGCAATGGTGATAAACAAGGAAGCAGGATTCACTGTGTGTGAAAAGACATTAGAACACAGTGAGAAGTCCTGGCAGAGATACAGACATCAGCAACATAACCACCTTCTCCAACTTAAGAAGTGTCCTGGTGCAAGGGTTCTTGGTTTTGGTGTTTCAGGGTTTGGGTGTGGGGATTTTTTTTGGTTGTTAAAAACTCAGCAATTAAATTCTTTGTATTCCAGACTCTTCCCAACTCTGCTGGCCACCCCATGCCTTTCCATTCTCATGACCTGGTCTTAACATTTCTACTCTTAGTGCCTTCCCTTCCCCCAAATTATGTTCTTCCCTTTAGCTGGTACAGAAAAATCATTCACTCCTAGGCTCGACAACCCAAAGGACGCAGTACAGCCTTTTCTCAGGAGCAGCAGGGAAGCACAGAGCTTCTGTAAGTGTTCCTTTTTTAAGCGTGCTGGGGAAGTGACTTCCAAAGAACAAAACACTCTGTTGTGAAACAAGGATTACTTGAGAGCTTGCCAATAAGGGCACATGGAGACTTAAGCAGCGGCAGGGATGCTTTGGCCGAGGAGTTCCAACAGTAGCGATGACATGAGGGTGGAGAACCCACTGCCCAGCAGGTCAGCTCCAATATTTTGCCTTGGTTCCAATTGTCTATCCTTGAACATGAAGGTCATTGGTAGAGCAGGTAACTCTTGAGGGAGGCTGGCAGTGGCAGTGTAGGGATCTCATTCAGTCTTTCCTTGCCCAGAGCAAGCCTCACAGCTCGCCGACACAAGTCCATCAAAGGCAGTGGTTCAGCTGGGAAAAGAGACCCAAGACATTAACATCCCAACCCACAAGTTACATATTCATTTTGCCAGTTCTAAAAATCCCCCAGAAAAGATCAGGCAAGAAAAGCAAATCCCTGGCATGTTCGCAGGACCCAAGTCATTCAGCATTCACTTATCAGCAACTTCAGCTCCTCAAATACACAGGTAGAGCATGTTTCTGTAGAGGTTATTTAAGCCCTACATATGTGTCAATGAAAAAAATACTAGAATCCCCTAATGGAAGTTCCCCCTTTGCAATACCATTTGTTCAAGTCAGAACGCATCTTCTGGCTTGTGCCTCTTAAAAAAGTTTTTTGGATACTGCAGTAAGAGATACACTGAAGTAGAAGACTGCAGCAGCCAGCTTGAGAGCATCATGTGGTATGGGTATCCAGAAAGTACCATGATTTGTGTCTTATATAGTAGGATAACAGCTGTCAACACCCCTTCATTTGTACTACATAATTCCATGAAAAACAAAGGCATCTGTCAAAGCTTCATGTCACTACGTGTATTGTGACATTTTTTCCATTAGAGGATTCCCTCCTGTATCATAAACCTAAGAAAGATACAAGCCTTTGGCTATAATTTTTGCATCCTGTACTTATAAACACTGAACAAGATAATACTAGTTTTTCTAGGAATGGCGTATGGGGCCCTTTGATGCTGAAGAGTCATTCAGGACATGCAGCGGACTACGGTCAAAGCCAGAGTTAATACATCACAGGAGGAAGATACAGATTAGCTTCTCACAGCTTCTGTCGCTAAGTCAAAGCTCACCTTTACACAGTTTGCTGCTCAGGCCTAAGGGGCTTCTCCTCCCCTAAGAGAAGGCTAACACAAAACCATCCCAAATTAAGCAGATAACTGGACAACCTTCTAATAGCCTGAAGGCTCAGCACACAATTAGAAAGATTCCTTTACAGACATCTTGGGCTGAACACAGACACCTAAAAACATCCACAGGAATGGAAAAGTTTGACTGAGAAGCTGCAGTTTTCAGGAACCTTGATAGGTGCCAAAGCTCTAGCTTCCACTCCCACAAGCCAAATGAATCTGACTGTTCATACAGCTGCTTTAAACAGCTGAGAGACAGGGAAAGCTTAGTTTTTCTGAGCACGGTCATGTTACTGCATTTTTTTTTTTGCCAGATTTCATTCCATCAGGAAGGTGGATACAAGTCCTTCCCTTCCAGGTTTGAAGATAACAGCTAATGTTAAAAGCTCAAAGAAGAGTGTTGTCAGTAGCTTCTGACCAGGCCGCTCCCAATTCTACTTTGGAAAAAGTAAACAGTCACACTGCTCCATGTAGAAAACACTTCCAATGAGAAGTGGGAAAGCTAATTTTTATCTAGTTATTGGCAAAAAGTCTGTGAGAAGGAGAGTTTGTTAACTGAGAAGAGACTGTGTTACCAAGTCAGGAAATGCATGCTTGAATCGGTCTGTCTCCTCAAGTTAGGGCATTAGTTCAGCCCTGGCTGCCATTTTCCCTACTCCTTCCCTTCCCTGCTACGAATCACAAGCTATTACCTGCTCCAGGGGAAGCTGCACTGGAATGTTTTTTCTAGCAGTTCTTCTAAGTTCTCCCAGTGCTTCAAGCATTAATTATTCCTGAGGAATCATGCCTCTCTCTATACGCACACCTCTAACACTGATAGCTGGGCAAAGAGCAAACAGATCTGTCAAGGCAGTGCTGTTGCTTCCCAAGCCCCACCATTTATCATACATGTTCCATGCCACAAGTGAAAACATAGCGGCGCTCAGCCCAAGGTACTGCTGGCCTTGCCTACTCATCACCTACTTCAAGATCCGTGCTGCCTCTTCTGCAGGGACAGGTCTCTACAGCTGGACTGCACGTCTCAGCTCTGGCTGTGATACTGCCAGAGGAGTCTATTACTAGCAACTCTCCTTTAGCACTTCCCAAAGTAGCTTATTCTTAAACTACTGGGGTACAAATACACTGTATTCAAAGTTTGTCCCAATCCCTCCTGCTCCAAGACAGCTGGGACAGAGGCATTGTCTAGCCAGCATCCCAGTGGACAAGGGGCCCTGACCTTCAAAGCCTATAGACATTAACGTAACAAATACATTCCAATTTAATGGCCTTAAAAGGAGATGATCTTCTTCCCACAGAGCTTAAGAACAAGAACTTCGTCCTCATCTAGTTTGCACAGATAACCCAGTCTGACAGGAGATCTTGAGACCAAAAGGGAAAGCACACACATATCTGACCTCCTTCCATTCACAAGCACTACAATCACTGGACAGTGTTGCTATTGAATCCTCAGAAGTGGCTAGAGCCAGACACCTTCTTTCTATCTGTGCCAAAACAGTGTCCTGTCATTCCTGGCCCTGTGCCCACAATTCACTCCTATGCTGAGAGCACATTACAACCAAATCCAATACTGGAGGTGGCTGTTTCCTTGCTAAGTACAGTTCTGTGCCAACAACTCCACAGACTTGCTGGCTTTGAGGGGAGCTGCAGTTTTTGGCTTTGACCCTTCAGAAAAATCTGGTTACTGGAGCTGCTGCCATTCTGTAAGCTGTTGTGGCAGAATGAGCTAGGTTTCTTTCTCTTGGTGAGAAAGTGCTCTGCCAAGAGCTTTCTATTTGCTCTTGCTGAGTTGAAGCCTATTTCTCAAAGCACTCGTGGATTTTGCTCCTATTCCTTTGCAAGGCTTTCTTGGTTATTATGACAGCCCAGTTTTTCTGGTGCACAAAGCTGACACTGGGCACCTCATGTCATCAGTGCCAGGGGTTTGCCACTGCTAGCCCAGCATTAGAACATGTTTTAAGCACAAAGAAAAGAGACCAATATGCTACAGCCTTTGGGCAGATGCTGTTCTGGAATAGAGGGGAAACGCTACTCTTCATATCAATACTGCCAAATTTATTTCACTAACAACATAAATCCAGATTTTAATCCACTTCCTTCACCTCTCTCCTCCACCCTACCCAGAGGGCTGAGTCACAGTCTGGCCCAATGGGAACTTCTGACTATGAGAGATAACAGACTTTAGCACATTTGGACAGCCAAATTTATTACTAAGCTTAGCTAGAGATTGATGTCCCTATTAGTAAAACGCCTGGCATGCAAGTTGGGCTGGCTACAATATTCAGCCACACACTAGGAATGAGCACACCCTGACCTGAAAGAAGCAGAGAAGTGAACTACTTTTTGAAAGATAAGACATTCCCATTCCCTTAAATAGGGACAGATCTTCCCACTCTTGCCTGCAAGGGATTTTAAAAAGTCCCTCTATTAGACATTCGAGGAAGGTAATTATCCCTCAGAGACCATTTCCTGTAAAGA